CTGTTTTTAATTATTTATTATAATTTTAAAAATTTTAAACACAAGTGCCGGTAGTGCATATGTATAAGATAATTCGACAATATCTTTCATAATATGTATGTATGTTTGTTTGTTTGTTTTTGAATTTCGCGCAAAGCTACACGAGGGCTATCTGCGCTTGCTGTCCCTAATTTAGAAGTGTAAGACTAGAGGGAAGGCAGCTAGTCATCACCACCCACCGCCATCTCTTGGTCTACTCTTTTACCAACGAATAGTGGGATTGACCGTCACATTATAACGCCCCCACGGCTGAAATGGCGAGCATGTTTGGTGTGACAGGGATTCGAACCCGCGACCCTCAGATTGCGAGTCGAGTGCCTTAACCACCTGGCCATGCCGGGCCCTAATATTTATGTACTGTAATCACAAGAACATATAAGTGAAAGTAAAGAAGAATGTATAACAATATGTCAACCACACTATATCTGCTACATTCAGTGTTCACGAAGTCTTTCTTCAATACCACAGCTCATCAGGTTGGTTTTGATACGATGAAAAGAGATGTAGTTTAGACTTCATTTCTATTATCAAATTGAATGAAGAACGTCTGTTATGGTGCGAACTAGGTTAAATTGGCCAAGTGTAACTTCTACCAAATTCATATGAGTTATTTACAAGGCGAATTAGAGTAATAATTGATAGTATAATACTATTTATTTATTTTAATAATAACTTTTATTATCATTATTCATTTTTACTTAAATTAACTGAGCAGGTCAAGTGTCAATAGAAGAAGACTAGTGATTAATAATTAGAACTTCTAAGAACTTGTAATTACTGTGTTTAATGTATTATAACATGTTTTTATCTTCAGGGAAAAAAAGAAATGTATGATGTTGGCACAATGACTGAAGATTCGGAATTAAAATCAGGTTCTCTGCACAGATCTACGCAGACAGTAAGCAAGGAACCAGCTCCATCAACAAATTCACATCCGAAAAGACTGACAATGAGGAAGGCAGAAACTATTGAGACATTACGTCACAATGTTAAATGTATATCGACATCATACGACACATCAGGTGTCGCTAGTAGCCATTTAAACGTTTCTGATATCGGTTCATTTGAAGAGCTGGATGCTCCATTCCATTTTGGGGAATGTGTCACGTCAGCTATGCTGGTTATGGAAAATAAACTAGAAAATAAAGTAAGATGTTTTTGTAGAGTATTATAAAATTATCTTCGTGATCTATATATAAAAATATAATTTCAAATTTGTCTAAAACAAATACAATTATGATATCACAGATAATTATAATGTTTTAACTGTGACTTTGTTTGTTTATAGCTAAGCAAAAACTTAAACAATGAGCTATCTGTGCTGTGCCCACCACAGGTATCGAAACCCAGTTTTTAGCGTTACGAGCCTTCAGACTTACCACTGAGATACTAAGGGGCATTTTTTAACAGTGAAATCTCTGTGATTATAACAGATACAAAATCAGCAAAAATGAAAAACATTCATTTTTATTGTGAGAAAATAAAGTTTTAATGATATTCTTCTTTTAGAATAAAGCATAATACTTTTGTTGTTTTAAAAAAGTATTTATAACCACCAATATTATGTGCATTTCAATTGCATTTGTAGTCACGAGCTTTTGCTATTTGATGCTTGATTTATTTTTCATGTTTTCAATTCTTAGAAGGTATTAGTATACTAGCACAAAACATTTGCGATCAAATTACTATCTTTATTGAACAGTGCATCTTTAAATACGAGATTTCTAAGATAGTACTAAATAATTATAATCGCAGACACCTAAATCTATAAGCTCAATTGTCTTAGGCCTAACATTAGTTAAGTCTGTATTAAATATGGCCTATATTCGATATAGAGATAAATTAACATTGTAACTTTTGTACGTTTTTTTGCTTTAGTTTAATTAGGGCTAAACTTTACCGTATATAATACTCTCAATAAATAAACTTAAAATTTTATGCTGCGATCTAACGTTAGACCTTTTTAAAACTTAGATAAGCTTTTACTATGTTGTTGTACAAAATGTCTACAAAAGTATATTTACATCCACCTTTTGTTAACATGCATTGAAATAAATTGCTATATAATCAGTATTCAACATGTCAATAATTTCTTGACAATCCCATCTTATATATATTGTGATAATAATTTAGTATGACTATCTTCCGAAAATGTAACAAATGTTGGCCAGTCTATTTATTGTTTGTTATTTGGATTGATTAACTTAAATACTATTTTTACAATAAGAAAAATAAAATATATTGCACATTCAAATAAACCTCTAACAAATTAAGTTTTAGGTAGAAATTAATTTATTTTGAATATTTAAAATTAACAAGGTGATAAATTAATGTTAAATGAATTAACTGGAACCAAATAACAGTCGTCACTGAAAGAGAAATGCATTCTGGACGTCAATTACCAAAAGAATTTTAATATGAATTTATAATTACTAATAGGATTTTGATATAGATTTCTAATTGTTAATAGTATTTAAATATCGTATTTTATATCTTATAACCATATAACTATCATAGGAACATCTTGAAACCTTCGAGAGGAAGTTCTTACCATCGGACACATCACCACTTTGTAATAACACAGAAAGTACGAGGAGATACGCATCTTTATTTACGACGTACTTCTTGCCAGCTTTCGACACCTTCAAAAAACTGTATTCGGAGAAATCAACCGATATACCCAACCTATTAACCTCTGAAACTACAAAACCACTTTCCATGTGCCGACGTTCTTCCAGAGACAAGGTATGACTTGCCTAATATTACAAGCGTTTCGTTACATCACCTAATGATATTTAGTATATATTTCAAAATGAATGGCAATTTCTTAAAAAAAGAAGCTTTTACGATACGTATCCTAGATATTTGCAGTTTTTCTTCATGAAGTCAAAATCCAAACTACTATCTCAAAGGTAGATGTTTTATTCTTTAAAAAGTTTACCGTTCATTTTATAGCTTCTGGAAAAAAAATCATAACTTCCTTGTTTCATATTTTAATTCACCCTCAGATGCATTCAAGAAAGTTATTGAAACATACCTCCTACATGAAAAACAGTACTTACTATAATTGTATTGTCCTATATCAACTAATATCTGGTCCAGAACCACGAGCAGGATTTGAGACCAAAGTGTAGGAGGGCGAAAAATTAATACACTTAAATAAACAGTGTTAGACTTCATAGTCTTAAATGTTGTGTGTGCTACTTTTGAATAAACAAAGAATGTCAGGTTTGTTTCCTAACAGTTTTAAACGACAGTTTTATTTCTTGGCCAAAATGAAAACGTTTTTAAAGTTTGACGGTTGTCTTTAATTAGACCAGCGTCAGAACTTAGCACTTATTCCAATTTGTGAATTTCCAACAATCTACCTTCTGACAGTCTCTCACCAACAGTAAAGTGACGAGTCGGAAAGCAGGATTTCGTTTCTTACGACATGATCCGAGTTTCAACACCTAGAAGATTATGTATCACAATAAAGTGTGCCTTTAGAATAATTAAATACATCATTTTTCTGTGACATTTGATGTATATGTAAACTATAAAGTAATTTAAAACGGCTTAGGAAAACCGGGTTTTTGCATGAAATAATTATTACAGCTCACATTCAGCAACAATGAACAGCAGTACCAGCCACTAGCAAGAAACGTCGCACCAGCTTGGTCATTGCACATGTGCTTATACCAATGATGATTTTAAAGCTGTATACCAAGAGCCTTTATAGTAAATACTACGGAACCGAACAGATGAAAGCACATCAGAAAGTTCAGACGTAAAAAAAGGCCAAGTAAAAAGAAAATGACCACTCTTAAATACAAACAAACACACCTGTCAACTCTCACGTGTATTTCATAAATTTTAAACACAGATCACGCTCTCACGCCTGGCTGCTAAAATCTCACGATTTTCTGTGTTTGATTTCTTTTTTTTTTCATCGTGTGATATTAAACATGTAATTATCTTCGCGAAACTGTTAGCACGGTCCTAGTCCTTTACATCAAATGTATACAATGGGTAGCGAGGACATCTCTAAAACAGATAGTTGCTGCGCGTGTTTATCACGTCGGGTGATTGGTTCTTTGTTCGCCTAATAACCAATGAAAAGAGCTGTTACATACAATCAAGCGCTCGCCATTTGTTGTCAATCTAGTAAACAAGATGAGTGAAAGTGGTTCGGTAACTGACGTTCCATCAACATCAACACAAACTGATAAAATAGCAAGGTGCTGCAAAGTATAATACTAAGTTCAATCCAGAATGGACAAAGAATTACCTATGCATCGTGACTGAATTGTCCAGCAAGAATTATTTTCGATGCACAGTGTGTAACCGTTCAGCCAGCTGCAAGCTCCAAGGACTACGTTATGTTGAAAAACACATTAACTCAAACTAGAAATGCGAAATTCGTTTTTTGATGGGGTGTTTTGCCCCTGGACCCCCGCTTTTTAATTGTCTCACTCATTCATGGGTATTAGTAGTTGAAAGCTATGCAGAGATGTTAGATAATACGAAGATATGAAGTGCGTGACTATTCTTACAACCTTCTAAGATGTAGATGATATAACAAAGAAGATTAACGAACGAATAATCACCAGAGTTTTTAAAAAATAAACGAGGGAATTACATAGTCTACGTAGGAAGTATAAAAGCGTTACATATTTTAAATATAAAACTCAAAAAACACCATTCTAGTTCAATGGTTGTACTAAGAATTAAAAAACAAAAGTAGAGAGAATGTCAGAAAATAAGAGCGGGACAACAGAAATATATATATATGTCTTCATACAGATACCCAGTAGCTAATAGTTTTAACAATGTTTGAAATTCTAAGAAGCACTAAGTATCAATTAGAAAATTACATTTACCTAGCTTCTTGAGTAAGAAACAGTAAAAAACATCAGTGATTTGTATATCCAAAGAAGTGATCGTGGCTGAAGACCAATTAGTAGGGTGATATAAACACTTGTAACAAGCGGCACTGGGAGAATGTTATAAACAGAAAATGTAGAACATAAACACTTGTAACAAGCAGCACTGGGAGAATGTTATAAACACAAAGTGTAGAACATAAACACTTGTAACAAGCAGCACTGGGAGAATGTTATAAACACAAAGTGTAGAACATAAACACTTGTAACAAGCGGCACTGGAAGAATGTTATTAACACACAAGTGTGGTACAACCAACACTGGAAATAAGAGGCACTGGAAGAATGTTATTAACACACGAGTGTGGTACAACCAACACTTGTAACAAGTGGCACTGGAAGGATGTTATTAACACACAAGTGTGGTACGACCAACACTGGTAACAAACGGCACTGGAAGAATGTTATTAACACACAAGTGTGGTACAACCAACACTGGAAATAAGTGGCACTGGAAGAATGTTATTAACACACGAGTGTGGTACAACCAACACTTGTAACAAGTGGCACTGGAAGGATGTTATTAACACACAAGCGTGGTACGACCAACACTGGTAACAAGTGGCATTGGGAGAATGTTATTAACATACAAGTATGGTGCAACCAACACTGGTAAAACTGGACTGGGAGGATATTAAGACAGACACAAAGTATGCATCATCAATACTCTTAAAACTTGGTATGGAATGATGTTATAAAAACAAAATTTGATACACCAGCTCTTGTACAAACTGGACTAGGAGAGTGGCATATACACAAGCTGTGGAACACAAGAACTTATGAATTTATGTGTTATTAACAGACAAAGTGTGGAACATTAATGCTTTTAAAAACTGGACTGGGAAAATGCTTTAAATAAATCAAGCGTGGAATACCACTATCTGTCAATATTAGAGTATTATTAACAAACAAACAAAACCATACAATTGTAAATTGATAAAAAATTAAGGAAATGAAAAAGGAAAATATATAATTCTTTAAAAAATGGTTTCTAATTATCATTATTTTATTATACACTTCATTGTCTATTATTATACTCGCAAAGTATGGCGGGCCATGGGCAATTATTCTTTTTGCCCTTTGGATAAAATGGCTCTGAGAACTTGTTTGTTTGTTTGTAATTAAACACAAAGCTACACAATGGGCTATCTGTGCTCTGCCCACCACGGGTATCGAAACCCGGATTCTAGCGTTGTAAGTCCGCAGACATACCGCTGTGCCACTGGGGGGCTCTCTGAGAACACCCAGTACTTTTAAAATTTAGACTGGATATATGTTATAAATACAAAATGCTAAACTTAAAATCTGGAGAAGGAAAATGTGATAAACAAAGTGTGGAACACCCAATACTTTTGAAGTTTAGACTGGATATATGTTATAAATACAAAATGCTAAACTTAAAATCTGGAGAAGGAAAATGTGATAAACAAAGTGTGGAACACCCAATACTTTTGAAGTTTAGACTGGATATATGTTATAACTACTCTTAAAATCTAGACTAAGAGAATATTGTTAATAAAAAGTGTGGAATTCGGCACTCTTACAAACTGGACTGGGAGATGCTATAAACAACTAGTACAGAATATCAACAGGTGTGAAACTAAGTTGAAGGTATGTTAGAACCACCAGCAGTCTTCAAAATCTAGACTGGGAGAGCGTTATACAGTCTTGGCCAAACTGTTGGTATACTGTTCTATATTGATTTTATTGTCTATCTGCATGGTAGGTATTGAGTAAATGCCCAAATAGTAACATAGAAGCTAACTTATGATCGGAAAAACATGTACGAGTTGTTATTCTGGTCTGTATAAGTTGTTTTGAACATTTGTTCGTCAAAACACACATACACATCTGTTTTGTATAAAAGGGTGTGCTTTGGTATAATCTTATTTGAAATAGATCAATGCTTTGTTCAGGAAATTTCTCTGAGATACTTGCTGTAAAGTCATGCTTCATCACGTGCCAGAAGTTATATAGCATCAAATTGTTCGACTGTCCAAAAAATGGTATAAAGCAAACGGACATTTCCAAAATAGTAGGGTACTCCCAGTGTACTGGATCCAGAATCCTGAAACGTTGTTCTAGGAAAGTCTACTGGTAGACGCTGAAAATCTACAGCCCAATATGATCGTGTTTTGGTCAGGTTAACACGTCAAGGTCGAAAGAAATTTTGCAACACCTTACGACAGAAATGTAGTGAACATATTCAGTGAACAGGATACTGACCAAACAAGTGCAGGATTACCTTGACCAGGAGGGCATTATAAAATTGCCATGCCTAGCAAAGTCTCCAGATTGTAATCCCATTGAAAACTATTGAGCAGAACTGAGCCGGAAAATTGCTAACGATGTCCCTAAACCAACTAGTATAGCTTAGTTGCAGCGCCTTCTAGTGACAAGTTGAGATGAAATCACGGTGGATCACATCAGTAACCTCATCGACAGTATGCCACGTCGCCTTTTGGAGACTATTAGAGTACGGAGAGGACCAACCAAGTACTGAATGTTTAATATGAACTGATATACGTACAGAGGCTAGAATACGTTATATATAAAATTATTATAAATATGAAAATCAAAAAGTCTCGTGACAACCACAGTCAGTATAAAGTCACGGCGGAATATTTATCAGAGCTACATTCTGACATAGTTTTGGCATATGTAGGCACTGTGGTACCACAGAAAATTAATCACTTTTTAGAAAGGTATGTAACAGCCCTTTCTGAAACAAATATTCATACACTGAGACCATAAAGTTATTTCAGATCAGGGATTTAGAATTTCCAAGATGGCGATATTCCTTGTACTTAATGGCATTGGAAAACAAGAACATGGATTAATTTTGGAAACTAGGATCATCCACAAGAAGACCTGCAAAAAGTCATACCCCAACCATGGTAAGCAAATTGCATTATCTTGTAATAAGTGAGAATCCACGAACACAAAGGTCTATGACGAAAACCGACCATGTGTCACGGGCAACAGTACGCAATATAATCAAGAGTGATTTCCATCTGAAAAAGTGACACAAACCACGTGTACACAAGTTGCATACCTCAGTCAGCTGGAGAATGAAAGGGAAGTTTACGTTATTTCATACAAAGAAGACATACCAGTCAAGTTTCAGGTTGCAGTACTTAAGGTTTTCTGTGCGATCAGGCTATTGAAACAGGCGCTGGGAAACCGTTGTCCTCGTACAATAACTAGATTATGAAAAACCATCGAGGAGGAGTTGTGTGCTTTGGATATGACAACCTTACGTCAGAGTCTTTTCCAACGAAAACTACGCTGCAGGGACATTTTAAGGATGCAAGGTCGTCAGATGGAGCATGACCGGACGTGACGGCATAGACTGCAACGACATGGCGAAGTTTCAAAATCGTTTTAATAAAACCAGATATAATGCTTAATATCTAAATAAAAAGGAACTGGATGTCAATGGGACGTATTCTATTATTATATTGATTACAGATGCGTAACTACTTGTTCATTAAGCGATCACTTATTTCGTATAGGGAAAGATTTAAAGACTATGTTGTTGTTGTTGTTATTTTATATATATCGGATTTTCCTAAAAACACGCTGTTTTATAACCATGTGTAGCACCTATATCTTTATTTTATAGTGATTCTTTACTATTCTACTTGTAATGCCGACATGGTAGACTGGAGAAATGTAAAAGTCTTTCTAAAGAAAACTATTTTTACAACAAGATTGTTAAACGATTCAGAACCAAAGGACACGACATTCTGACAGAGAGAGTCTTCAGTGTTGTCCATGAAAGTAAGAAAACTCCCATAAGAGCTCTTAGGAAAAGAACAGGCTTAACAACCTCAACTCAGTTTGGTCCAATTCATTCGTCCACGAACTGAAAACTGGCATGGCTTCTGGTACCATTAGGAAAATATTAAACAATGATTTTAAGCGTGTCAGTATGGTAATTTGAAATCACAAAGAAATTATGATGAGTTTATCATCTATATAATTTATCGATGTACCTGAAAGTGGGTGAAACATCACTGAGAATTACGTTATCCCAGAGGAAGTCCAGGGTCACGTGATCCAATAAGAAGTACAGTTGTCACAAGTTATTTTCATTTGTATAAAAAAATAGTAGAAATACACTGTGTGTTTGAAATATGAGTCAAGTATTCATATTTGTAATGAAATAGTAAGTATTATGCTTCTCTTGAATATTTATAGGAAGAGCTATGATTACGATTAAACTTGTTACTCTGTTTGCTTTTTGACCTCCAGTGGCACAGCGTTATGTCTGCGGACTTACAACGCTAGAAACCGGGTTTCGATACCCGTGGTGGGCAGAGATAGCCCATTGTGTACCTTTGTGCTTAATTGCAAATAAACAAACAAACTTGTTTGCTTTTTATTAAAGTTAATTCATTAAAGAGCTTACTCTCCGCCAGATGTTTGTCAAGAATAAAATACTCTCTGAAAAGAAACACTAAACTTCAGTTTTGTTGTAATTTTCATTATTTCTGTTACTACCTATTGGTAAACGTTTCACTGTGTTGGAAAGCGTTGATAATCAAAATGTTTAATCGAATATAAAACTAAAACAACCTCTTTTAAAAGATGTTTCAACTGTAAATTCCCCAGCTCTTCAAGATTTCAAGATCCAAATTCGTAATGTGGGAGAAAATTTCCAACTCCTTAAACACCTCTACTCTAATTCTTAGTTAAATTGTTAACACCTTTGTTTAGAAGAAAGTTTAAGTTTAGTACGGAAGTGAAAATAAAGAACTTTAATACATAAGTAGTTTTAACTTGATTGTCAATTAAAATGTTGAATAATTCTTAGTTTTACTTAGATTAATAGAATTAATAACTTACGATTGAATAGTGTATTTCAAATACTGAATCAGAAATGTTTATAAGAAAGGTGGAAACTCGTCCAAAATAACCAATTTCAAGAGTTTGATGAGGAAGAAAATCATCATAATTGTTCGTGTTGTAATATAACTTGCAGGTAATGAAACCATATTATAAGATTATGTAGATTTATAAAAATAAGAATGGAAAAAAACAGTATATCAACCTTTTATTCATCATCATTCCTGTGTACACATATCCTTACATCAGCTAACATGCGAGGTTGGGAGCTCATAGCTCGCCTCCCGTTGCCACACTTTGAGAAAATGGTCAAATTCCATTGTTTCGGTCAGACAAAAGTATTCAAGAATCGTTTGTAGGTGTTGTTGATTAGTTGTCTCCTCTCTCGTCTGTCAGTTCAAAACTAGGGACGGCTGTGCTTAAATAGCTATTGTATATTATAGCCCCCTAAATAATATATAAACAAACAAATATACGAAGTTATAAGTCAGCTTTCAAGTCATAGAACGTCTCCTTTAACCCCTCCATTTACTCATCGGCAAGCTTGAGGGCTTATAACCCAGAGTGTGATAACTGCGGCAACACTGCGCAGGTAGCCCATTGTGCAGCTTAGCAAACAAAACGCTTTTTTACTTTCAATATATTAGTTGTAAGGTGTCAATATTAACTATATAAATACTTCTGTTTTAATTGCTGTGTTTTCGCAGCTGTAATATTGCTCTGCACCTTTTATACAATGCTCTACTCTATTGAACAAAACATAGTGTATTCCAAATCTTGCTCTATAAATATCAGATCTTGGATTGAATCCTTAAATACTGAGAAGTGTTCATTAATGATATGCTACATGAAGTCAAACTAGGATACTATTTTAAGATTCCGTCTTATTTCCACATAGGGAGTACACGGTCCAGTTTCCTTGTATTAATAAAGAAAAACTAAACTTAATTTACAGACTAAGTGGATGTCACCTTCCTGCTAGAAGAATTGAATGGGCTGACTTCCATGGACGTCTCATTAATAAAACTTTCAAGAAATTTTAACAGGATGCCGACTAGTTGCTTTCGAGAACATTATAATACATAGATGATTACTTGCATATAGAACATTATCTGTATAGGAAATTCAAAAGGAAATTTAATTTAGGATTTTAAACAACATTATTAAACTCCCTGGCGGCAGTTACATTTAAATAACACCTCTATCTCATTATTTTCTTTTTCTTTCTAGTAATATTACGTAACAACCTTCTTCGACAATTCAATACTGATTATCATACCAAGGAAATGTTATAATTTTCTCTATATATAAGAATATCTAATTATATTCCGAAACGAGAAAAAAAAAAGATGTTTTTCCACTACTCTGTCTATTTGGTGTTCCTCTGTGTTGTACAGTTACTTTGCAAAGCTGCTAATCGCCTACTTCATGTGCTCAAGAGGTGTCCGAAAATTTTAAAGGCAGGGTAATATTCGTACAGTTATAAATTTATTTACATAACGTTTAAGTTAAATAAAATTCAGCTAACTGTAAAACGCTTTCCCAAAATATATAACAGAGTTGAAACGACACATAATGAGGTATTTTATGGGTTTCACGCTTTTATCTGGTAATCATAATACTGTTACAGCGGAGGTCACGTGACGCTAGTAACACGTCATGCACTTCTAGAACGTTCATGAAACCGCGAGAGGTTACTAGATTCGGTATTTTTGTACATATAAGACGGTCAAGACGTGACGGCAACAATGTAATAAGTAATTGAACTGCGGACAGAGAGAGAGTATAGTTGAGTCGAGCACGTGAGACGTTCGTTGTGAATTATAGCGTTTGTTATAGCGCGACTGTGGAAATTAAGTGTATTGCAAAGTTGTATTCAGAAAGAATAAACCAGTTTTATTTAAGAAAGGACTTGTATCGGTAAAGTTACTTTGGAAAGAATTTTTACGGAAAATTAACTAACTAACGGAGGCGTAACAATACTGTTACTTAAAATTGCGAAGTTCTAATGAAGCCTGCGTTATATTTACGTAAATAAATTACAGTTTTAAATGTTATGTTAGCGCTAAAAACGCATATCTATTTAAATCACAAAACATTTTCATGACATTTCTCGATTTGTTGAATGTTATTCTTGTCTGATTCAAGAAATATTTGTTGTTGAACTTTCACCCGTCTTCAGTTCTTATAGAAACGACAGATCCTGCAATAAAACACGCCAATTTACTACTGTTATTTGTAGGAACTACAGATCCTGCAATAAAACACGCCACTTTAATACTGTTATTTGTAGGAACTACAGATCCTGCAATAAAACACGTCAGTTTAATACTGTTATTTGTAGGAACTACAGATCCTGCAATAAAACACGCCACTTTAATACTGTTATTTGTAGGAACTACAGATCCTGCAATAAAACACGCCAGTTTAATACTTTTATTTGTAGGAACTACAGATCCTGCAATAAAACACGTCAGTTTAATACTTTTATTTGTCGCTCATTTTAACTTTTTCGTTCGACGGATTCACAGTATAAAATCAAAAATGGGTTAAGTATGTGTCTTCTTACTACTCAACAGATTTTTATGGTGGATGAACTTCAAAGTGTTAGAGGCTCCGATCCAACAAAAGCACTTAGTCTATCAGCGTCCAAACCCTCACCGGTTAGTTTCATTAGCTAAAAACGTATAAGAAGTTGACAAACTCTTGACATGAAACATTTTGAAAGGTGGGTTTAATAGAAAAAAAAAGATTATCAAGATAACTTTAGAAAATGGTGATAAGAGGTTATTGGAACTTGAAGCACCGATTTATTTTTAACCTAATGATTTTTGAATTAACTTTACCTTAGTTTTATAAAGTTAACAAAAGTATAGGAAAGTGTTTGGCTGTAGTAAGATTCTGAGATCTTAGACAACTTATGTATAACTGAAATATATTATTTTCTTTTAGCATAAAGTTCTAGTAAAATCTCATTCGACGTGCTGTGCGGGTTTTCATTTGTTCCTCTAGGAGATGTTGGACCTTAGATTGGGGGACTGTGAACTGAGAGGGCTTCCACAAATTGTTTTGTTAGGAAATGAGGAATTCACAATTTTACGATTGTAATAGGCCATCTGGTGGAATAATTATTTTGTAGTAGCCTCAGCTGTTACTAAATAGCTTGAAATATGTATATGTATTTAGGGCAAAGCTACTAAGGCTATCTGCTGCCATCCCTAGTATTGAACCTCTGCAGCTAGTCAGCAACACCTTACTACCCACCATCCATGCTAAGGGATTGACTGACACTCTTGTAATACGCCCACAGCTTTAAGTGCGGGGAACATTTTATGGTATCACAAGGATTCGAACCCTGTTTGCCAGCTCCGAAATCCAAATCTCTATCGCAGGACCAATCCATGCCCTTGAAATATTAGACTAGTCAGTGCGTAAATACTATTACAAGTCTTATAATCCTTTAAGGAGAAGTACACACTTGTGTAAAGGAAAATTATACAATTTACATAACAAATGTGGTGAAATTATGTTAATTTTGGTTCATAAAATTTTATAATTTAATTTTTCTTCCAGAGGTAAGTGTGGTCTCAGGCTACGAGCTGAAGAAGTGCCAAATTCCCTAATAATCTTTTGACTTCAATGCTAAGCTGTGTATTGGGCTTCATACGGTTAGGTTAAATCTGATATGTGGATACAGCTTCACAGTTCCTGTCTAAAATGATTTAACTCTTCTTTCTTACACCCTTCAAAGATTTAGTGTTTTAATCATTGATAAGGAAAACAAGTTATTGGAACTGCATTTGTAACTTGTTATTTTGTATTTCTGCTTTGAGTAGAAAGTGTTGATATATTATGCCGTATTACTAAAATATTTCATTGCATTTTGGAAGTGCCACTTTAGTGTTCAACTGTTTTGTTAAATACCTCTGTATAATTCAAATTTGACAAACAATAAATAATATATCACAGAAACTTATATTTTTTAGCAAAGATTTACCAAATTTTTTGGTTATGAATAATTTTAGGTCGTATATTTGCCAGTATTTCTTGAGTTTATTTTATATAACTATGCTGTTTTATACCATTAACATTTTATAATATGCTCACAGTTATGTATTTTGGCAACTGGATTTAATAGAAACATTTTGTTATTTTACTGTATTGTGCATTTTTTGAGTGAGTACATCACATTTGGAATGTTGCAGACGAGTTATACAGTTTCATGTTATACATCAACTGTTAATATGATTGATTAACTCTTACAAAAGTTACTTCTGATTAGTGGCAAAATGAAATATGATTTTGGTTCATTATTAGAAATCTCTTTTAGTTAATTTTCTATTCAAAATATTACAACATTGTTAAAAACATTATTAATACTTACAAACTTTTAAACATTACTGACCATTGGATAATGAAGTTAGATCCAGAACAAGCTAATTGCATTGAGTGTCAGATATATATCTAATAACATTAGTGGAAAAATTTTTAATTTTTATCCTCGTCTGTCTACAATAAAAAGAACAGAACCTATAATGTTTGACAATTCACACTCAATTCATTCTGAAAATATTCAAGCTCTCAGATTGGTTAAAAGTAATTTTTATGAGATATTTAAATTAAGAAATTACAATCAAATAAAAAAATTGAGATTTTTTAGAAACCAAAGAATAGATATTGGGTGCCATCATTCTAAACTTTAGTATCCTTACCTTCACTAATTTCAACAACTGAAACAATTACAAGTACGTTTTCCTGTGCTCAACATTTCTTAAAGTTTCAATCAATGGTCATTATTTGTGCTGCTATTCCTTGCACATACAAGTGTGGTAAAATAATTGTAATTTTGGTTTACAATTTTCTTTTTCTTCCAGAGGTGAGTGTGGTCTTAGGCTGCGAGCTGAAGAAGTGCCAAATTTCCAAATTATCTTTTGACTTCAATGCTAAGCTGTTTATTGGGCTTCATACGGTTAGGTTAAATCTAATATCTTTGGTGTCCTTACGTTCACTAATTTCAACAACTGAAGCAATTACAAGTACGTTTTCCTGTGCTTAACATTTTTTAAAGTTTCAATGAATGTTTATTTTTAGTTCTGCTATTCCTTACACATAACAGAACTAGTTTTTTCTGCTTCTATTCCTATCACCCATTATGGGAGTTATTACCAGAGCTAATTTTTCTGCTTCTATTCCTATCACCCATTATGGGAGCTACTACCAGAGCTAATTTTTCTGCTTCTATTCCTATCACCCATTATGGGAGGTATTACCAGAGCTAATTTTACTGTTTCTATTCCTATCACCCATTATGGGAGGTACTACCAGAGCTACTTTTTCTGCTTCTATTCCTATCACCCATTATTGGAGGTACTACCAGAGCTAATTTTTCTGCTTCTATTCCTATCACCCATTATGGGAGATACTATCAGAGATAATTTTGACTGCTTCTATTCATATCACCCCTAGTAGGAGGTAGAGGAGAAACAGGGTTTTTGTGCCTTAATGAGTTGCACGTAAGAACATGAAGCTTAAAACACATTACTTTTTAGTGATAAGTCTACTTACTAATTAACATTACAAGGGATAATATAATGACCAGTTGTTAAGTTTTTTGTTGTTTTTAGTTTCTTCTTTAACTGGTGCTGATAAAAATTAAAATAGTAAAACTAACGTTACAACGTACCTGGATATTTCGAACCACTGATTAATAGTGATAGCCCTTACAATATCATCAACGAGTAGTGTTGTAAAACGGCTATAAAAAACACGTCAAGGTTTCGTTTTCAAAACCATCAACATATCACTGTTTTAACTTTAGAAATCTAAAAATCAAATAAATTTGTTCCATTGAACTTCAGAAATTAAAAAAAAAGATCGTTTGTTCTTCAAGTGTACTGTAAAAATTAATAATTACTCTTTAAATATTATATTGTTACGACAGCGGAAGTCACGTGACTCTGCTGGCGCGTTTGGCGCTGGTAGCGTGCGTGAAATTTCTTGAGTGATCGGGGAGGCCCGAGTGCAATACGAGACGCCCCCTTCTTTAGTATATAAGCCTGGCAGAAAAAGCCTGCAGGAATGAATGTATGATAAAGTGAACAGTAGACACAGTAAGTTTCGGGCGAAGTTATCGCGATTGTAAATCGCTGTGGTTTGTAGCGTGTATTATAAAAGTTGTTAAGTTTAAAGAGACGAGAAACGTACTGACAGTAGAATTACTGTATACTAAAGTTTGTATCGAGAAATAATAAACTGGTTTAATCAAGAAAGGACTTGTATCGCTGAAGTTCCTCGGAAAGAAATTCTACCGGAAATTAACAAACAAGCAGATACGTAGCAATATAAAAACTAAACACAAACTTTCTCATTATTACTGTAATATGTAATTATAATGTATAAATAACATGTGTCTGTCTGTCGTACAATAAAGGTCTTATCTCTGCAGGTCTGTGGTTAAATGATTCTTTTTTCCTGGGAACAGAAAAATATGTTAGCTAAACAAGGAGTAAGCTTTGATTCATAGCCACCTCATCAGTTTCTTCATAATTAGTATAACTGAAATACATATGCCAGTACTAAGTGTCAAATTCAAAAATTTTAATTAAAACAGTTTTCTGTATTTTATTAATATGTTCAAATTATTTTAAAATAATTCAGCACAGCGTTGGAATATTCCATTTAAGAGAATATTTGTATTAGATATTCATAAAATAGACTGGTTTATCAAAATGTAACGTTTATAAACTTTTCCAAATTCAAAACTGTTTCTCACTAAAAATTCAGTTTTAACACCAATCTTCAAATGTGTTTAAAATGTTCTTGTTAAATAAAGAAGTCTGTGATTAAATAGGTTCAAGAACTTTAGATAAATCATACAGAACACCATAATGTGAAACAACAAGGCGTATTGTTCCATATACTTCTTCAGATGCTAATTTCTTTTTCTTAGCCATCAATAAAAACTTTTGCAACCTGTTTACTCTTTGGATATTAGGATCAGAATCTAAGAAGTTGAATTTGGTGCGATGTTTAAAAACTTTGTCATTTTTTTAAAATATTTTTACTTGTTAAGAATTACCAATTCATTACTTTAATCGGACATTAAACTGACAAACTGTTGCAAGAATTTAGTCGCTTAAAACTTTCAATTCATTTTCGATAAGTTTATTATACTACCTTCTATCTCATTTTAAGAAATTAGTGCAAAGTTACACAATGGGATATCTGTCTACCGAGAGCAATTTAGCCCAAATCGTTAGCGTTAGAAGTCCATAGATTTTCTGCTGACCCACCAGAGGACGTTTCTTATACACTTTTTATATAAGGCAAAATAGTGCTTTAACGTAGACACGAAATATGCTTGTGAAAGATAATCAAAACTAACAAAAAAGATCTGTTTTCCAAGGAAGTTTTATATACATTATTTTTAATTGAAAAAAATTTAATCTAAAAATTTAGAATAACACTTCTAGATTCAGAGAAAAAGGCTAGAATTTAGTTCGAAATTTGTACGTACAAACTCAATTCATTATAACTATTAGAGTTAGGCAACATCAAGAGCTGTTCCACGTATTGCTTAAAGTAACATGTAAACAGTTAAAGGAATAACTGCCAGAGCTAACAATGATTTCATTATAGGTATTTGAGGATGTACTTTAGATTTTTTAAAGGGTAACGTTCTCTTGAAGAGCATACCAAAATAGAGCCTTAGTCGAGACAGGTCATTCCTGAGAGAGTTGGCATCCAAGAAAGCTTCTGATAAGTAAAAAAGGAGAGTTTCTACCGTTACTTGTAGCTCCAATACTGTCTTAGTTTCTACCATTACTTGTAGCTCCAATACTGTCTTAGTTTCTACCATTAGTTGTAGCTCCAATACTATCTTAGTTCCTACCGTTACTTGTAGCTCCAATACTGTCTTAGTTTCTACCGTTACTTGTAGCTCCAATACTGTCTTAGTTTCTACCATTACTTGTAGCTCCAATACTGTCTTAGTTTCTACCATTAGTTGTAGCTCCAATACTGTCTTAGTTTCTACCATTACTTGTAGCTCCAATACTGTCTTAGTTTCTACCATTAGTTGTAGCTCCAATACTGTCTTAGTTTCTACCGTTACTTGTAGCTGCAATACTGTCTTAGTTTCTACCATTACTTGTAGCTCCAATACTGTCTTAGTTTCTACCATTAGTTGTAGCTCCAATACTATCTTAGTTCCTACCGTTACTTGTAGCTCCAATACTGTCTTAGTTTCTACCGTTATTTGTAGCTCCAATTCTGTCTTAGAAAATGACACGTTACCCATAGACGATAAAATGAAGATGTTAAATAATTTACAACAACATCATCAAACATCTCATTCACAAGCCATGGAACACATTAAAGTCGCAGTGAATTCATTGGCTCCTGATAATTTAGATATCATTGTGAAAAAGCCTTCTCTTTTTTTTTTATTCGTCATGTTTTGTTTGCCTCCATTCTGTGTTCTTGTAGGAATGCTTGTTATCGACTAGTCACAAAGTACATGAAAGCAAGAAAAGCAGATTAAACTACAACAGGGCATCACTTTCTAAACCTTGGATAGGGTGTACAGAATTCTGACCGCTAGATCACGTGATATACATACACTATTCGAGTTACATTTCACTATATTGAGTCGAAGACTGCGCTTTAATAATTTACTTAAATGAACGTAGCCTACTAATTAAAAGGGCAACTGGGCCGAGTCCCCCAAAATTGTACAAGGTCAAATCAGGAGTTAATTGTCTATGATGTCTATTCCTATGGGTACATTGGTTACTTTTATAGAAGTGTTTCTTTAATCATCGTATATTTTATAACCCATGAAGTGTGTAAATTAATTGCTTTTACTTGACAGCGAGACTACTCTGTGTTATTAAATCAAACAGTGGTATAATACCTATACGTATATGATGCCAAGGTTTCACGGGTGTAACTTTATTGTAATCCACATTATGTGTATT